TTAGCTTTCCAACCATATATTGTGGAGCCCAAATGGAGTTCTAAGCGAAAAGTTATGTGCATTTTACTAGACAGTGCGCAATATGCCTACTCGATTCTTCGTTTTGTTGCTCTATCATCCGTTGATCCCCGAATACTATCCAGGCTTAATTCCTTGGGCTTTTACTCAGATTTCAAAGCTCCAAATCACTTGAATTCATTCCATAATATTTACATAGCTCGGAATCACTCCTACAAGACATAAAACACACAATTAGTGCAAAACACTAACGATTAAAACGCAAACTCAACTAAAGTGCAGTAAATTAGAGTGTAATAATCGACTAAAATACGTCATTATAGCCTATCATCAACACCCCACACTTAAACCATTGCTCGTCCTCGTGCAATCAAACTACACTTTATATAGACACGACCTTTTTAAACAATTCTCCTAACTTATCACACCAAGAATATTTAAAATAGACTAAGCACAAAAGCGTAACATCTTCACCTCAAGATTTGACTCACAAGTACCACGCATTATTCACAATTCACCTACTTACTCTAACATAGAGGTTACTGACATTACCTTTCCTTCATGAATCAAGTGCCCTCACACAACAAAAGAGAGTTGTTCTACACAATAAAATTTCAGAATACTTAGGAACTCAAGATAGAAACAATTCACTCACTCTCAAAAATAACATTCATATGCCACAAAAGATGCACCATAGGCTTGTCCGTAGTGTACTACTCCACTAATCGAGCTCATTCAATCTAGGATCAATTAGGACTTTATTTGGTTGTAATGTAGGCTATGGGACGGGTATGATACATTTATATATAAAAGTGACTACACCTCCCTAAGCATTTTAATACATATACTTTAACATTCAAACCACATGCTTATGTCAAACCAAACTCCACCTTCACCTCCATGTATATTACCCCATTCTTTTTTAAGCACACTTACATCAAAAGCCACCACTTATCAAGGAATATTTTTTTTCCAAAAATCGAACTATTTTTTTTTCTTTTTTTCTTTTTTTTTTTTTTTTCAATTCAAGTGGCTCTTACTTTTTTCAAAACAGTGCACATTTCTCCTTATTTCATTAGTTCCACTCAAAAGCCAAACCAACCATCCCACACTTTAACTTTTACACAGTTCATAATAATTCAAGTGCTCATGAGAGGTTAAAAGGTTCAAATAGATGATTAATTCAAACAAATGGGTAAGGCTTGTAATGTGGTTGCCAAAGAAACAAGATTACAGGCTCAAAGGGGTTAACTACGATACATAACAATTAGGTGGGTAAAATATACATATCTGGCTCAACAAAGAAACACCTATATCACTTCCAAGACTGAACAAAACTACTATTTCTGTTTGCAAACACACAGGGCAAGTTCTAGGCATCAAATGCAATGCACAGAATATAACAAATCCTTACACACACATGGCACATAACTCACTCAGGATTGGTTTCATCAAGACACTCTAGTCAAAGCAGTTAAGCAAAGTTAAAATCATACAATTTAAGGTACTTATACAAGAGTCAAACTATGAGCCTAAGCGTCACAACCAAAGTACTCACTATTCTCAAGGCATAACAAAGTCAAGAGATATTGCTTCATTTCAAAACACAACACAATGGATCCTATTCCTAAAAAAAAACTAACTACACCCGGTTCAAACAAAACCCTTGGAAAAGAATCGTAGCACAAAGAAAAACCAAGGGGTAATTGCTACACTACCTGACAACAGAAAATCTTTTTGTTTTTTTCTTTAGACTTAAATCCCTCAAGAAAATTGTCTAATAGATCCATCGTCGAAAAAAGTCCAAACTTTTTTTTCGTTTTTCTAAAAAGATAAAAAAATATATTCAATTAAACTAACACAACTAAAATAGCATAGAAAGTCACCCAGACAATCTCCTCACCCCACACTTAAAATTGTGCATTATCCCCAATGCACACCATAACTAATAAAAGGGTAAAAGAGACTCCCTGGTAGTCCAAAGGCCGAAGCACTAACAACTCATGGGGTACTCAGACTTCTCCCAAGCTTGGTCCTTCGTGCGGGTACCTCACACTTAGTTCCAACCATTTGGTTTGTTGTTGCATCCTTCCAATAACTTTGCTTTCCATGTTCCTAGAAATCAAAAATCAACACTACAAGAATAATACAATAATAAATAAATAAATAAAACTAAATTAAAAATAAAAAAAATGAAGCTGGGTTGCCTCCCAACAAGCACTTGATTTAACGTTGCGGCACGACGTGGATCACTTTTTGCCTCCACCTCGAGCTTATGAATTGAACCCCAAGTTTTGATTCAAGCTTATGATTATGGTCATGGGGCGGTGGAACGAATCTAACTGGCCCAAGGAAATAATGTAGTATTCTGCACTCCTTGGCCTTTGTATGAGTATGTAATCCTGACTTTTTGGCAAGAAGAATTCCAGAATATATGCACCTTGTTCCTCATTCCTTGACTCTTCAATTGGTTCGAATGACTCTATTTCCATATCATCATCCAAACATAATGTGGAAAAATGCTTGGAGTGTGGACCAATGCACTCAAACACATGAACTTCAGGACTTTCAACATCCTCAACATCAATGATAGTAGAGTCAACAAAATTTATATCCTCAAAGTCCTTGGCTAGCTCTAGTCTCACTTCTTCAACATTAACATTCTCAAATTGTAGTTGGTTAGGTTGTTGATGTTCTACTCTGACCTCCCCAATTAACACCTCGAATTCATGATCTTTTTGGCTACTATCCTCAATATTGGCTTGTTGAGCATTAAAAGCTCCAACCACTTAACTCAATTGAGCCTCCAACTTGCGAATAGTTGCCTCTTGCCTTTCTATCTGCAATTGTTTTTCATTATTTTGTTTCAGAAGGCACTTTAACATATCATTGATCTCCTTCAGGTCTGCATCCCCAGGTTCTTTGTTCATGTTAACTTCACAAGAAAAGGTAGAACCATCATAGTAAGGGGTTGGGGGAAGATAAGAAATATAAGCACAACCATTAAAGTGACCATTTTTACCACTACACACATTCCACAAATAAGATTGAGTTGGTGCACATAACTCGCTCTCGGGAATATTTTGATAATTTTGATACAGGTGGTTTCCTTCACAATATGTATGAGGATCAATAGTAGAATTATCTACACCTAAATTCCCATAATTCCAAGATGTCATGTTTCTCAAATCAACAGTTATAAAAAATATACAAAAGAAAAAAGAAAAAAAATAAAAAAAAAATAAAAGTTCAAACTTGAACCCTAGCAATATATACAGCTACAACTACACCGTTAGTTCCCTAGCAACGACGCCAAAATTTGATCACGCCCAACTCTAGTCCTAAAAAGGATAAGCGGTCGCTGCAAATATAATCCGGTCTAAAAGTCCGGAGTCGAATCCCACAGAGAACTAAGGCTTAGCTATATCTGTTTAATAGCACTAAGAAGACAAGTTTGAACAATTTCCTAAATTATAAAGATTGAGATTTATATTTCTAACTAATTAACTAGCAAATACTACAAAGCGGTAAAATAATCAACTAATGAGACAAAGGGTTGGAGACTAAATTAAGGAGATCTAAAGTTATGATTTTCCCAATTGTCGGAATCCTTACAGCTATGTTCTTTACAATTTCGCCGATGTATTCTCTACTGATCGTGAGCACTTTAGGTGCCGTAATTCTCTCTTGAGCAACTACAACAATTTACTAGATATATTCTCTCGAACTACGCTAGTTGGCTTCATCTAACCACTCACTATGACCACGTCAAGGCTTTGTTATTTCTAAACCTACCTTTAAACCCAATGTATTGATTTCTCACATACGTTAGGAGTGACGTTGTTCAACAACCACCTAAATATGTATCCTTTCTCAAGCAACACATAATAAATAGGCACAGTCAATCGATGGCCATTCAATCAACAACACTAAACACGTAGTTGAACAAGTAGAGAAATCCAACGGCTCAATTATATAAAAACATAACAAGAATTTATCCTACAAAAGGTTCCATCAAAACCCTAGAAAACGAATTAGCTATTCATAATAGTATGTAAAACTACAATACTAAAAGTCATAACCAACAATAAAAGATAGGAAGAGGAAAGAAAAACTCGTAGAAGAATTCTCCGCCTTACTCCTATTGTGTTCTTTCCTCCTTAGGTCGAATCTACGGTCTCCTTAGCCTCCTTAGGTCTAAATTATGTCAAAAGTGTGTCCAACCCCTTAAAATACCGTTTTTCCATGTATATATACCATTTAGGGTCGGGCTCAAACTATTATACATTCTTCTACGCGAAAAAAGGATAATTTTTTCACGTTTGGACAGCCGCGGCCGCGGTCAACCGCGGTACGAACGTGGTATTTGGCAAGTATACTGCGTCAGCCCGTCTCAGGTCCGCGGTCGCAGTTTCGACCGCATTTTTCACCCTGTTTCGTTTGGAATTTTGAAAAACGTAAAACAAGAAAGTTGTAGTCCATTGAGTTAGTTTTCCAACCATATATTTTGGAGCCCAAATGGAGTTCTGAGCAAAACGTTATGTGCATTTTACTAGACTGTGCGCAATATGCCTACTCGATTCTTCGTTTTGTTGCTCTATCATCCGTTGATCCCCGAATACGATCCCGGCTTAATTCCTTGGGCTTTACTCAGACTTCAAAGCTCCAAATCACTTGAATTCATTCCATAACATCTACATAGCTCGGAATCACTTCTACAAGGCATAAAACACACAATTAATTAGTGCAAAACACTTACGATTAAAACGCAAACTCAACTAAAGTGCAGTAAATTAGAGTGTAATAATCGACTAAAATACGTAATTATAGCCTATCATCATACATGCATTGCCTTGTTCAAAATGCGAGAAAAAAAGAGAGCAAAATTTAACAACACTTGTGAAAAATGTGCAGGAGATGAACTCTTACAAGTCATCAGCAACATAATTGTCATTCACGTGAGTGCTTGCAGCTAGCCTTCATCATAAGATTGGACAAACTAGGCTTTCAATGTAGACGATCCCCGCAATACAAAAACGAATGTTAGCAACCTCTAGATATCTGATCAAGCCATCCTTTGGATTGTAAATCATGAAAGTTGATCCAAACACAAGAACAATTTCACCTTTATCTGACATGCAAAGGGGTGGAGAAGGCACAGAGTTCTCGACATCAGGACGAAATTCGATGGTATACATTCTTGTCCAAGACTCTTTGACCCCATATTCTTTCATAACCCACACATCTATGCAGTTTCTCTCGTAATATTTACAAAACAACACTCCCAGCCACAGAAGAAAATATTCTACTCCATAGCAGGGCTGCTCCAGCTTTCCCCATTTCTCACCAGCCAAATCAATAGAAATGATGACCCTATCATTGCACCCAGGACAACTACCAGTAGTAATCCAATGAAGCTTCCCATCGACGGACTTAGCTGAACCCAATAACACCCCATCGGGGAAATCATCAATCCTTCTCCAAGAATGATCACTATTTAAACTATACATATTGACCTTAACATCAGAGCGACCATTGGTACTATAAAAAGCACTCACTAACTTATAATCATCATTAAGCTCATCATATCCAAAACCATATCTGTAGCGACCAGGCGTCGGCGTCGGTGCAGCTACAAAAGAAGTAACTTTCTTGAGCTTTCTAATAGATGGATTCCATAGCAATAAATATTCTTTCGCATTTTTAAGACAAATTAAGCCATTGACAGAACCCACAATCCAAGCAGTATCAAAAGGGTATTTTATTGGATAATCGAAGTCAAATGCCTCCGTAACAAACTCATAAAGTAAAGAACCAAGAGAACATAGCTTAAGATTTTCCTTACAAAGAAGAGTCAGCATAAGTCTATGGTGGGTGTTGTCCTTGTTATTAAGATTTTCATTACAAAGAAGAGTCAGCATAAGTCTACGGCGGGTGTTGTCCTTGTTATTAGCACATATACTTGTTTGACCAAAGAGTATTAAGTTTTTTGTTAATCTAATTAATAAGAATATAGAGGACATTTGATAGGAGAATAAGATGTAGTCAAGCTCGTGTGCTTTCAAGATTTATAGAAGATATCAAATATAAATAATATGCTTATTAATTTGATATCACATATAATTGCTTATAGAAGAAATTCGACCTCGCTCGAATTAACACCCTTACGGCCATCGGTCATCGCCAAACGAATTTCCCTTTTATTTGGCGACGGAGCGAGTTTGCCTGTTGCGTTATTTTTATTGGAGAACAGCACTCATTGCTGCATTGTTTGTGTGCGTTGGGGCGAGTCCCAGTTGGTTTAATTTTGTTTTCATTGGAGAGTACTGTGCGTCGGGATGAGTCCCGGTTTGTTTGATTTTGTTTTCATTGGAGAACGCTATGCGTCGTTGCGGTGTGTATGTGACGGTGGAGTCCCAGTTTACCTAATCTTCTCTTTGCTTGTCCTGGAGAGGCCGTGATCAGGACGAGCGATGAACCTATTGCTTGGGCTTTTGGGTACCCTGGGACTAAACGAAGTTCAGACGTGATTTGCGATATTTAGTTAGTTGAATTGGCGTAAGATTGTCATGGCGAATATTCATGCAGGATCTTCGAGTTCAAGTTCTGCTTGCGTCGGAGGGACTATGCGCTCCACGGGCTCACTGCTTAGTCTCAGCTAATAGAGATCTTCTTAATAATACCAGCTTGTTTTGAGCCGTTTGTCTGTTATTTGCGGTACGATGTGGTTTGGAGGGTTTTTCTTGGTGCGTTCGTTCCTTGTTCGCGTACCTGTGAGAATGCTCGTATTCCTTGCGTTTGAAAACAAAGAGAAAAACGACAAGTTAGGTCCAAACGAAATTTCTTGTTACCTTGATCTAGTAAGTCGGCGAAGGGGGAGGGGCGCTGTAAGGCGGCCCGTTCCATCCCGTACTTGAATGACGATTTCAGATTTGGCAGCCCTATGTTTGGCTTCGTTGTTAATCGCGTCTAGGCTTCTCATGCTGAACTTACCCTGCCCGTTGGGATCTCGAGCTCGAGTTCCGGTTCGACCGCGTCCGATGTGCACAGATAATATGGGGAATATGATATACCCTGTACATAAATTACAATTTTTCACACGGATACAAAAATAAAGCAGGATAAGTCGATTATTTCAAAGAATCATACAGTAGCCATCGTCCCTTCCTAAGATGGGGAAGTATAGATCGGCATATAACGTTAACACAGCAAATAGGGTTGCGGGCGTGCTAAGTGCGTAGTGACCGCAATCCCACATTGAGTACTCACACGACGATCTAAACCCGTCGCTACAGGCGAGGCATGGGTTTTGCTAGAGATCGGACCTAATTTCGATTTCATGTAGAGATCTGACCTAGATTGATTTGGTTATCTCGAAAGCTTATCTATCACTTTTTCGAGTTGGTGTTTATACTGAGATGGTGAGGATATGACAGTCGGGAAGTGATACTTTGGCTGGTTTTATATCTAGAGAAAACTAAAATTTTGGCTAAGAAATCCCCACAGACGGCGACAAATTGTTTGACCAAAAGTATTAAGCTTTTTGTTAAACTAATTAATAAGAATATAGAGGATAAATCTTAGCCAAGAATAATTAACTCTAGATTAAACTTCAAAGCACATTGGATAGGAGAATAAGATGTAGTCAACTCGTGTACTTTCAAGATTAATAAAAGATATCAAATATAAATAATATGCTTATACAAAAGGGAATACTTCTGATATATATAAGAGGAAAGAAGACAAAAAGAAGGGTCTCTCTCCCATGGAGGAAAAAGGCAGAAGAACCAGAGAAAGCTATAGGAGAAAAACACGAGAAGTTGCAGATCTTGGCGACAAATCTTTGTAATCGCCTTTCTTGAATCAATAAAGACAGATCTTGCAACTATCAATGGCATTCCCTCTGTTCTTCCTTTGTTTTTATATCATGGGACCATACATGATGGATGTAAGCATATTATTTATATTTGATATCTTCTATAAATCTTGAAAGTACACGAGCTTGACTACATCTTATTCTCATATCTAATGTGTTTTGATGTTTAATCTAGTGTTAATTATTCTTGGCTAAGATTTATCCTCTATATTCTTATTAATTAGTTTAACAAAAAGTTTAATACTTTTTGGTCAAACAATACTGAGATGGGTTTTGACAAATTCAGGGCTAGATATTAAGGAAAGCCAAGATTTTGAAACGCACCTGAATTGTAAAAGGGATTTGACTGGTAGCTTTAAGAGTATCTCAGTGATGAGCTCTGGTGGCAGAATAGGGATTTCAAAACTTGAATCTTGCATTGAAGTTGATGGGAAGTGAGTTTGGGTTTTCTCCGTTTTGAGTGTTGATGGGAGGTTCGATGATCTCCGTCATATTCGCAGCCGGAGAGCTGCGTGGTTCAATCGATTAAGGCGGCGGAGAAGCTCGGGCGTGTTCTTTTTCTAAAGTTTTCGAGAGGAAATGTTTCCCTTTGTCCTGAATTTTTAAGGGTTTTTCATAGCATTAGTTTACTTTATATTACTTAAAAAGAGATATTCAACATAATTTAATATTAGCAAGGAAGCTGTTACAAAATTCAAACTGATAAATGTATAAATGAATTTCTTTGGCTTTTTATTTATTTATAGAATAAACGATATCGCTGCAAGTCTTTTCAAGGAAGTTATTATAAGATTTTTCTACAATAAAAAATTAATAGGAGGTATAATTTATATTTTATTATGAATTCGATGAATTAATGTGGGGATGTCCATTCATTCTCCTATACATTCCATTCAATAAACTTATGTACTTATTCAATGTTTCATCAAAAGGATTGTGACTTTTGGATGACTTTTACACCCTATAAAAGGGGTTGTACCTATTGTATTTGTTGAGATATTAGGGACTAACTATAGTTAGCTAGCTTAGTTAATGATAATTGTAGTTAGTAAGCTTAGTTAATGGTAGTTAGAAAGTTAGTGACAGTTGGACACAGCTAAGTTAAAGGAGTTGGGTTATTATACTGTATATAACAGAAAATCAGTTAGCTTGTACAGTAACAATTTTCATTCTCTGATAATATGAGAAATGTTCCTCCATGTCTACGCTTTCTTCTTCTTCTTCTCTTCTCTCTTTTGTTGAAGGTTGCTCACCAGAAATTATCATGGTATCAGAGCTTGCGGATTGATCCGAGCTCCGTTCACTCTCCTCTGGTGTTATCTTCAATTGTTCTTCTTTTGCCTAATTGCTTTCGAGTCGCCATTGTTGGTGTAACTCGTCTTTGAGCAGCTAGGGTTTTATAATTCAGAAATTTCTCTGAGTTTTCAAGCTTATTTCAATGGCGGTTGAGATCTCGGACGACACTACTGATGTCCCTGCACCACCTCCAGCTAGAGGCGGCGTCGGCGTGATTCCTGTTGTAGATCAGCATCATCCACTCTTTCTCCAGCCTTGCGACACTCCAGGTAGCTCGCTAATTTCAATTAAACTTACAGGACCTGAGAATTATGCTTTATGGAACAGTTCTATGCGAGTTAGCCTACTAGGAAAAAGAAAATTAGGATTTGTTGATGGTAGGTATTCTAGGGACAAATTTGATCCATCTTTGCATGAGCTGTGGGAGAAGTGTAATGCTATACTGCTTTCATGGATAATGAATTCAGTTAGCAATGAATTACTGAGTGGTATGGTGTATGCTACAAGTGCTCAGAAGGTTCGGTCTGATCTTAGGGAAACTTTTGATAAAGTTAATGGATATAGAATTTTGTATCTTCGTAGACAAATAGCCACCTTAACTCAGGGCATCTCATCAGTTTCAGTCTATTTCTCAAAACTGAAGGAATTGTGGGCAGAATTTGATGCCTTAATGCCTTGTCCTGGTTGTGGTTGTGAAGAGTCCAAAAAGTATGTTGAGCATTTTGAATCTCAAAGTCTTTTGTAGTTTCTAATGGGACTGAATGAGTCGTATGCTCAGTCTATTAATCAGATTATGATGATGTCACCAACTCCTTCAATTAATAAGGCATATGCTATGATAGTATCTGAGGAAAGTAGGAGATCATGGACTCCCTCTACACATGTGCCTGAGATAAATGAAGGAATAGCCTTGTTTAGCAACAATGGAGGTTACAGGGCTACTAACTCATATAGCTCTGGCAATGCTGCCATGTATAATAACAAAGGAGGATCCTTTAGTTCAGGACCAGTCTATAGACACAAAAGAACAACCTCTACTGTGACTATTGTCATTTCAAAAGGCACACCAGAGATACATGCTACAAATTGGTAGGATATCCAGCAGACTTCAAAGCCAAGAAGAAGACTCCTTCTGTCAACTATGCTAGAGACAACCAATCTAACAATGATGTCTACTCTGCTTCTGTGAGTGAGATTTCTGGTGCAAGTGCTAACATGCCCAGAAATGCAGCACCTAGTCAGGTTCAAATCAGAACATTCAAGAAGGACTAGCAGGACTGGCAGGGATTCCACAATTCACTCAGGAACAGTACACTCAAATTCTGCAGATGCTTGGCAAAGGGAATGAGAATGGTAATTCATCTGTGATAGCAGGTATAGCTAATGCTGCTACTACTACTAGTGAAGATCTAATTAAATGGATAGTAGATTGTGGAGCATCAAACCACATGGTTAATGATAAACACATCTTGACTGAAAATAGTTCATGTGATAAATCTAAAGAGTGCAAAATTCATCTACCTAATGGGGAGATAGTTACTGTCAATCACATAGGCTCTACCTATCTTTTTCCTGGTCAAAAGATAACCAATGTGATGCATACCTGGATTCAAATACGACCTCTTGTCTGTGTCAAAGTTAACAAAAGAACTAAAGTGTGCAGCCATGTTCTTTCCTGACTTCTTCATTTTTCAGGATCTCTTCAGTGTCAAAGTGAAGGGGATTGGTAGAGATGGTCTATATGTGTTCAACCATAATAGCAAGCTTCATGTGGATTCTGTTGTGACACATGTTTCACAGTGTAAAGATGTCTCAAAATCTGTTGTTGTAAATACAATAATTGGCAGTAGAATAAGTGTAGACCTTTGGCATAAACGACTAGGCCATGTGCCACTTAGTACTCGAAAAAAATGAAGGATTTTCAATCTGTAGAACTTGATAAATCTGAAGGTCATTGTACTGTTTGTCCATTAGCTAAGCAATCAAGACTGCCATTTCCTTTGAGTATTACTGTCTCTACTACTTGTTTTCACACTATTCATGGTGATGTTTGGGGTCCTTACAGAGTTCCTACATATGATGGTTGGAGGTATTTTCTAACCTTAGTTGATGATCACTCCAGGTATACTTGGATCTCTTGCTTCCTTCAAAAAGTGATGTAATTGTAGTGCTAAGAAATTTCTTACTCATGGTTCAGAATGTTTATTCATGTTCTGTAAAAGTGCACAGAACTGACAATGGATATGAGTTCTTTAATTCACAAATGACAGCACTGCTTCAGTCCTTTGGAATCATTCATCAGAGTTTTTGTGTCTACACTCCTCAGCAAAATGGAGTAGCAGAAAGGAGACACAGATATATTCTAGACACTGCAAGATCCTTGAGGTTCCAAGCATCAGTTCCTCTAAAGTTCTGGAGAGAATGTGCTCTAACTGCTGTTTATGTGATCAATAAAATACCTACACCTACTCTTCAAGGCAGGTCCCCCTATGAAGTGTTACATGGTCACTTGCCCTCATTAAAGCATCTGAGGGTGTTTGGTTGTTTGGGGTATGTCACAGACCTCAAAGGAGGGGACAAATTCTCACCTAGAGCTGTTCCTGTCATTTTCCTTGGTTATTCTCTGACTCAAAAGGGTATAAAATGTATGTTATTCACTCAAGGAGTTTTCAAGTTAGCAGAGAAGTAGTGTTCAAAGAAGATGTATTTCCTTTTAAGCATCTTCCTACTACTATCTCCTCTCTATTTCCAGTCCTTGACTTAACCACTATCTCTCCCACTTCTCCTTCTATGTCATCCATATCAGATACTGCTGAATCTGCTGAGTTAGCCTTAGACACTATCATGCCAGAAGCAATTGTTCAACCACCTGACATGTTGGACACACCAGCTTTTGATGGACCTACTGGGACAGTTGATGATTCTAACCCTTCATCCCATGGCATTTCTATGCCCTCAAATGTACCTGAGTCAAGCAGAAAATCAACCAGAACCAGTAGACCACCTGTCTGGCTAAAAGACTATGTCACTCAGAAGCAAGGAAATGCTAATTGTTGTTATCCTATGTGTTCTATGCCAATACATCTCAGCCTTTTAGTGCTGCTCTTACTGCCTATTTAGCTATTGCAGAACCTCAGTCTTATTCTGAAGCTGTACAACATAAACAATGGATAGAGGCTATACAATCAGAGATTGCAGCCTTAGAGGATAATCACACTTGGAGAATTGTTGATCTCCCCCCCCCCCCCCCGGAAAGATGCCTATAGGCTGCAGATGGATATTCAAGGTGAAGTACACTGCCTCAGGAGCTGTTGAGAGGTATAAAGCCAGGCTAGTGGCTAAGGAGTATAGTCAACATGAGGGGCTCGATTACACAGAAACTTTCTCTCCTGTGGCCAAAATGGTCACAGTGGGATCTGTCATTGCTATTACAGCTGCCAAGCATTGGCCTATCTATCAAATAGATGTACATAATGCCTTTTTGCAAGGTGACCTTCTAGAGGAAGTTTACATGGAGATTCCTTAGGGGTCTACAAGCCGGGGAGGGAGTTCTAAGGTTTGCAAACTTCACAAGTCATTGTATGGCCTGAAGCAAGCCCCTAGACAATGGAAAAAAAAATAACTGATGCATTAATAGATCTTGGCTTCACTCAATGTCACTATGATTACTCTCTTTTCACCAAAAAAGAGCAGAGTCCACTGGTAGTGGTCTTGGTGTATGTAGATGATCTAGTAGTGACAGGAAGGTGTTCTGATTTGATAATCAAAACAAGGAATGATCTTAAGCTCAGGTTCAAAATGAAGGATTTGGGTGAACTAAAATTCTTTCTTGGGTAGAATTTTCTAGATCCAAAAAAAGGCATAGTAATGAGCCAAAGGAAATATGCTTTGGAACTTATCTTTGAAATGGGACTAGCAGGATCCATATCAGCTGGTATTCCACTGGAATCCAATGTGAAACTCACATCTGAAGAGTATGATTCTTTCATCAAAGGAGACTCAGATCCTGAAGCAACAAAAGATGACAACCTATTGGCAGATCCAGGTCAATATCAGAGGCTCATAGAAAGGTTATTGTATCTTACTATGACTAGAATTGATATTGCTTATGTTGTGCAAGTGATCAGTCAATTTATGCACAAGCCAAAGCAGTCACACCTTTAAGCTGCTCATAGAGTTGTAAGATACATCAAGGCAGCTCCTGGTCTAGGTCTACTAATGCTCTCAGACAGTTCTGGCACACTTGTAGCCTATTGTGACTCAGATTGGGGAGGTTGTTTACAAACTAGGAGATCTCTTATGGGGTATCTAGTAAAGTTTGGGGAAGCTACCATATCCTGGAAGTCGAAGAAACAGGACACAGTAGCTAGAAGCTCAGCAGAGGCAGAATTTAGAAGCATGGCTTCCACAGTTGTTCAATGTATGATAAATATATAAGTTAGTTACACCATGTAATTTTTCCATATAAATATGTTACTTTTATGTAGGAATTTACTGAACATCGTAAATCTTGCTCCTATTTTTTATACTATGGGTTTGATTCTGAAGAAGTAATGCTAGGTGTACTCAAACATCATATTAGTCAAGTTGTATAACCATTTAAAATTGTTGATATATACGAAAAGCTGTGGTTCTATGTATTCCTAAAAGTTGGACAAAATATATTTGACTCCTCTTAAAGGAGGAATTCCAGTTGTGAATATGGTGTGTTATTTCTCGTTATTTATAGTTGTGAATATGGTGTGTTATTTATAACCTCTCTACTGCCACGTAATTCATTTATTTTCATAAATATAAAAATCAATAAACAATTTTTTCTAAATAGTTAAAAATTTATAATATGCGTGCCTAATTCATTTATGTTCATTATCATTACTAGATGAGGAAAGGCCCGTATACGGGCCCAACATTGTAATCTTAAAATTGTTGTCTGTCGGTGCTTAATTAATTTTTTGATAAATAAATCGATCATTGTTATATTCATTTAATAACTGAAGAGAATGATATTGGGGATCACAATTTACAATTAATTTATTTTAATAATTTACAAAAAATTGAACTATAAATTATAACCTGCATAAGTTGCTCGAATTATTAACATAAAAAGACTATGTGCTATAATACTCATTTTAACATCAAATTGTAAAAGTGATTGCATGGTATTATTTCCCCACTATATTAGAATTTTTAACAAGATAATACATTAAAGGTACAAGTGTAATTTATATTAACAATTTTTCTACAATAAAAAAACTTACCGATCTATTTGTAAACTAATTTTGAATACATCCAATTTGGTCTTGCAAGTGTTTTAATAGTGGGAACAATCAGCTACCTAATGAAAGTTAAAACGAACAAAATCATTCTTTACAGTACGAGAAAAGTTTAAAAAAAAACTTATGATTTTACTTTATGTCTTATATACAACAAAATCAAGAGAAATTTTTAGTACAGTCAACAAAGAGAACTTCCAAGGGGACTTGCATCCCTAAAGAGGCAATTTACTACTTCAAACAAAGAGAACCAACTGTACTAAAGAAATATTAACATAATACAAATTGTAGTAATTCAATATAGTAGTTCAAATTATATTTTATTATAACTTGTTTAAAATGATGTTACTGGTGATAAGATAATAAATATTTGATATAAGTCTATATAAATTATTTTATTTTTTTCTTAATTATGGATATAAGAGAAATGTTTTTATTTTTTCTATAGATTTATCATACGTTAATTTTTATAATGAAATAATATAAAATATTTTAAGATAATTTATAGATTATTGAAAACTTATCATGGAAGAATGGAGTTCAAACCAGATAAATCAAAATTTCACATCAATTAAGTACATAAGAGATAACCTCCTAGAACAGATGAACAAATATCATCACTTAAATTAACTTTCAAGGTTTACCAAACTATAGTTTTTAAAATTACTTTGGAATATAAAACTTTTAGGTTTGAAATCGCCTTCAAATAGTGTGAATACATGAAAACCTTTTAATTTTATTTTTTAAATTGTGTTAAAATAGTATGGGTAAATATGAAAATCTTGTAAATATTTATCTATATTTCTTTTTGTTGCTTTATTATTTAAAATTAAATTTACTTTTTCTGTGAAAACTTTTAGTTGACTAAAACAAAAATTAACAATTTTATCAAATGAGAAAAAATATTCAAAATGAGTATTTGCATGGAGTAACTCTATGCAAAAGTAGTCTAATCAAAAGTATATTTAAACTTTTAAAGGAGTGATGTGGTCAAGGGAATGTGGGGTCCATGTATATCAAGGAGGACAAAAATAGGCATTTAAGAAATGCAAGCAATACAATAATTATTTTTGAAATGACATATATGCCCTTGATTGACCATATTTCCTTTTCTATATAATAGAAATGTATAACATTCCAATAACAATATTTTTACCCAGGAGGAAAGTTGACATGAGGTTAGTGACGCATCCTATAAGTTGCTTTAGATTCTTATTCCTCATTTTAGGTAATCAGATGAGGGGCGGTCCTTTCCTAAAACAGGTAAAACAACTGCTTTGGCTCCACATTTGCAGGGGCTCTATTTTTTATTACATTTAATAGGTAATATATAAGTTTAAAAAAATGTTCCGTGTGTAAAAAAGTTTTATTTTTTCTTTAACAAATGTCGAGAAGAAAGATTTGCAATAACTATAATTTCTGTCAAGGAAATTGCATTTAAAATGAGTATTGAATCCGAATTTCGTAAGAAATATGTAATATATAGGAAAAAATAATTTGACGAGAATGTTGATAATGAAATCTTAAAATCTCTCGAAGTGTCCTCCAGAGTTGCTTACTTTTTATACATAGTAGACAAGGCTATTTTTTCACTTCAAAATAGATTTGAGCAATTTGAAGCATATGAAAAAATATTTTTGGTTTTCTCATAGCGTAAAATACTGAAATCACTAGATGATGAAAATTCGGAGAAAATGGTGTCTTAATCTTGAATGTTCCCTAAAACATAATACTCAATCTGATATTGATGGTTTAAATTTATTTTCTGAATTAAAAATGCTAAGGAAATAGTACAATTAAAAGATCGCAGTTTAATTGATATACTCAATCAAATTTAAAATTTTTTAATTCTTTTCCAAATGTTTATATTGCTTATAGAATAATGAAATTAGCTATATTGTCAATTAAGAAAGACTTATTAAGGAAATTGATTATAAGAAAATTATTAATAACTTTGCATCTAAAAAAATCTAGAAAAATAGACTTCAAATTAAATTGAAAAGGGAATTTTTTTTCATTCCTATACACTATTTGAAAATTTATTACCCTTAATGTCCATGTTTAGTTAATTACTTGGCATAAACAAGTTTTGTTTATAAAATATATACAATCCACCTTAAAAGGCTCCCAATCCATTATTTGTGCCTTCAATCAAGAGATGTAGTTACACCCTTTTCCTTTTTTTTCTCCTCCTCTCTTTCCTTATGTTTATAAGCTAGAGCAAAAGTAAAAATATCACCAGAGCCTGGTCACCTGCTGAATCACGCAATTCTGGTAAAGATTCTTTTTCGTCACTCCCTGGTACATAAGTTACAGCATGCTCAACCCCGCACCTCTTGGACCTGACCCACATGCATGAACACTAGAAGAGGATTTAATGCTGGTAGCAAAAGCCACTCTGGTAAATTCAACAGCCATGGGCTTTCTTCTCCAACTATCATCGTGACTACTGAATCTGGTTTACCATGATCATCACTTCTGCTTTGTCCACCGTGAGAATGTCTCCATTGAAGTTCATCAATATCTGTATAATAAAGGAAAAATCATGAAATTAAAATATCAGAAACATTGCAAACAGACACCTTGACATGTCAACAGGTAGTAATTGAATATTAAAGAAATACTGCAAGTCAGAAATCTCTAGTTGGATATGAACATGTCAATGAGTAGTAATGGAATATTCAGTTGTCAGTTTGTTAATATATCATGAATTCGTTTATATATATGCACACAAGATTCGCCAGCAGCTCCGAGAGTGGGGAGGACGAAGATGAACTCGAAATAGAGTTAGCCCTTAGGCTTTGTGGATAGTCCCCGAGTGAGGATTTTCTCGAACTCGGGTAGCCCTTGGCTTGGTGGTCGAGTGAGTACTTGCTCGAACTCGAAATAATGATAGCCCTTAGGCATTTTTATATTGGACCTTAGGCTCTTATACATCGGCCCTTAGGCTCTTTAAGTTGGGGCAATTCGGCCTCCAAAATGGCTATAATTTTTCCCTCTTTTCGGCTAAAAGACTAGGTGAAAATTTTGTATGCCTTGGCATGTGTTTTTTGTATTCGTATTCGTTCAATTTTTTCGAAGGTTCGATTGATTGTAACCTCGTTTGTAATTTGATATGCAACATTATCGAATACCTCTTGAGGTTTTCTCGAAGGATGACGTTATCGAAGCCTTCGCATTATTCGAGGGCTGATTATATTGAAGCCCCTTATAATTTGCTTTTGCCGAGGGTAGCCTGACTTAATCGGTTTTTTTGAAGTATAGGAAGGCCTTTTAGTTTTATGGCGTAAGTCGGACGTCTCCGAGCTGCATTATTTCGGCTGTAGCCTTTTCATATTACCGTAGTCTTTTATATGGCCATAGCCTTTAGTCCCCGAGTATGATGACCTTGTCCTTAATATCGAGGGGATGCCTTTTCGAGGTCTTGCGAGCTCGATTGCGCCTCTTTGAGGTCTTATAAGTTCGAGTGTGCCTCTTCGAGGTCTTATGAGCTCGAGTGTGCCTCTTTGAGGTCTTATAAGTTTGAGTGTTCGATGACAGTCCCCGAGTATTCGGGTGCATTCGGGGTTTTGGCCCTTGAGCGCTTAAATGCAAAAAATAGTAGACTTCTTTGAGGCACAAAGTGTTTTGATTTAATAATAATGTTTCTTCAACTAACTGACACATGTGTACATGTTTTGTTGTTGGGGGCTCGACTATTCTATATGGACACGGTTCATTTGACCGTTTGGCCCATTACAACATTCCCCTATCGAGGCCCTTCTTGGCATGAATTGCTTTCTTCGAGAATGCATCCTCCGAGGGTGATGCTCCCCAGTGTTCGAGGCTGATTAAAAAAGAAGCCTTGAATACTTATTGAATATTCCTTAGGTAGCATATAGGTGTTGCCTCGTTAAAAACCTCGTCGGTAAAACCCATTTGGGATAAAACCCGATCTAAGGGAAAAAGAGTACAACACATGCTTTAAAACCCAAGGTCTTCGAGCTGAAAGGTGCCTCGATGTTTCAAAACGAACATCTGCAAGAAGTTAGTTTTAAAAAAAATGGAAAAAGGGGAGAAGATCATACCTCAGTAGTAACAGCGTTTGAGCAACGATACATTCCAATTGTTTGGTAGTTGCTCGACTTCCGTTGTACTAAGTTTCTAGGGTCCTTTCCCTATGAC